TACTCGGTACCAAAATACTGGTATCGGTGCATCCCTAATATATAGTGCTTGCAGCATTTTTTCTAACCGGGCCTGAACGCAGGCATTGATGTGCCACGCATTCCCGTGCGGCCGTTTGCACAGCGACCAGATGGCGTGCTTGCGGTTGCATTGAGTTCAATGCACCGCAACGCCCCCTCCCACCCCAACACAAAGTGAGTCGGCTACAATGCAATCCAGTGTGTTCCAGCCCCAAATCAGGCCAGAACGCATTGTGGCTAGTGTGAACTATCCCTTACCGGCCGGATCACCAGGTGAAAATAAAGAAAAAGAAGCCTAAGCAAACCTAATTGAGCCACCACAGCTCAGAATTGGTAAACTGCAATATACAGTATTACATTTCTGCTTTTGGGGTTAGCTACGCTTTAAACATGACTGCTGATTAAAGCTATAGAAAGTCTTCCTTGTTAAGGTCAGAGTTCAGAACTGTCACTTTTTAGAAGAACATCATTAAGAATAAAATAGCTCAGCACTGGCTAAGAGGACACAATGTCACTGATTTCAGAGTCATTATCAAACCGCTCTTATGAAGGCACTTTTGTGATGGGAAATAGTTTTTCAGCATTATTTTATTAGTATTTATTAGGAAAAAGCTTGTAGAGATTATGTAACAACTTCAAGATAAATGATTAAAACAGAACAGCAGGACTGACTTTCATTTTCTGAAGAAACACCTTCCTCAAGAACATACTTATTAGTAAAGGACATAACTTTTCATTAGTTTGCAGTTTATATGACTGGATTATGACTAACTGCCCTTTTATCTCTTCAGCACGCTCTGTGGTATCATTAATATGTCTTTTAACAACTATTAGATTCTTGAGGAAAGCATTTCTTTAGAAAATACAGGCAGTCCATATCGTCCAGCAAGCCTTATGTATACGTTGTTATATAAAATGTTCATATTATTTCTTTTTACAGCTAAGGTGTCATTATTCTCACAGTACAAAAGGTATGTGTGACATCATAGGGGTGAGATATGATGTCATGAAAGCGTCCCCTTAATGGCTAGCATCAAAATGGCGCTCACGGTATATCGTGGGCAATAGCCCGTGATATACTAAGCTTTGTGTCACGGGAGGAGGTTAGTATATGTCTTCCCGTGACCCTAAAGAGAACTATGGGGAAAAATACTTACCCCATAGTTCTCTTTTAACCCTTTCTGGTTTATGAGCTGTCATGGCCTCGAACCCTCTCAGGCATAATCTGTGCTTGGATCAGCTTCAACGGGCTGCCAAGGTGACATTAGGGGTCTAACAGACCCCTAATGTCTCCTAAAAGAGTACTTGTCATCACTAAAGACTCTTGCATTGGAGGCTTGGGAGTCCCCTAAGTGATAGCAAAGAAGTAAAGTTAAAAAAGAGTTAAAAAAATAAAGTTCAATCAAATAAATATAAAAACTGAAAAAATATTCAAAGCCCCGTTCGTACACGCACATACTAACACAAACATTACAAAAACGACAACATGTTAGGTATTGCCGCGTATGCCAGAGTGAGAACAATAATTCTAGGGCCATTATTCATGGTTAACTCTAAACTGATGACCCGTACAGGACTATGGATAATTTGGGGGTACCATAGTTTTTCACCATTTCACGGGCACACCCAATTTTTAAACTTGGCAGGTTGGGTATCTATTTATTCCGCACAACCACCTCTTTTATATTGTACAAAAAAAATGGGTATAATATTGTGTTTTTGTGCACTAAAATCTACTTATGTGTTACTATCATTTAACATAAAAATGTGTAACTGCCATAATTTTATTCTACAGGGCCTCTGCTTTTAAAAATATATAATTCTGGCAGTGGAAGGGTTAAACTGCTAATACTGTCCATAAACTCTTACTACCCTAACCTATAAACAAAATTTTATCTGAACAAAGTCATTGCAGTGAACATAATACAGTGACCCCCATTCACATACTTTAGGAAGCAAGATTCATTATTTGTCTCAATACGCAGCTGCAACTCGACAAAACTTTATTACAGAACTTCAAAGGATGACATATAAAGTGACACAAGCGAAGCCTTGATATTTACAAGTGCATGCATGCACAGCTTATCAGAGAATAAGCCAATGAACAAACACAATATTATTTTATACATAACCAAGGAAATCTGTTTAAAAAAAAATATGCATAGAAAATAATCTACACCAATACGTTGTTATGTCCTGTAGTGAGTGAGGTCTTGTCCATGGTGCTGACGATGGAGCTCTGTAAATGTCAGCAAATAAATCCGGAGAATTTAGTTCCAGGAACAATCAGTCTTTTTTCTTCCCTATAAAAAGTTTTTTTTTCTATAAATCTATTAATACTGATTATGTAAAGTCCCCAAAGTATTTAAAATATGTGCTCCACAAAAGGTCTCCCATCTCTTGTATTTGCTCCATGAAGGTACTTGCCAGCAGTAAGTATGAGCTGCAGACTCCCGTTTTTTAATTTATATAAAGACCACCATTGTGATTCCTTTTTAAGTGGCTAAATTCCTGCAGTCTGAAATAATAAAGATCTTGTGACCAACACTTAGGGTTCCCATAAACATGAGAGGAGAGATGAGGCACCTATGGGCAATTTTTCTACTCTGTATTAAGTCAAAATAGTAGCCTGCTCACTATAACTTACTGTACAACACCCCCCCCCGGCCTCAAATAACTATTTTTCTGCAGTGTTCTGGACATAGTTCCTTCCTCTTCTTGCTCAGCGGCCGCAGTAGGCTGTCTTTCCTTCTTGACTAAGTAGCACTGCTGTAACAATTAGTACTGTGAACTCAGGCCATCTGATGACATTGACCAAGAGGCAAGTCCATGACAGCCTGGGCTTACAGTACATGGGTCGAATGACACTGACCGTCATTCAACCTGGGAGACTGGCGACATCTAGTGGCCTAAAGGAATTACTGCAGCAGACAGCTCCAGCTTGAAGTAACATATTTTTAGAAGCTCGAGGCAGCATATCACAAAAAAAAATCTGGACAGTTAAAAGCTTAAGCTTTAAACCCCCCCCCCCCCCCCACTGCAAGGGTTAAGTGCTCGTTTTGGTGTAGGGTGTAAAATAAAAAAGATATTCTAATCCAAACCTTGGTCCTGCCTGGCTGCTAGACCGATCTCCACAGCCTTTTCTCCCCTGGGCTTCAGCAGTCTAAGCCCCGCTGACATCATCACGTGTAATACAAGTCCATTGATTTACATTATACATGAGGACACCGAGGGACATACCCCAGCCCGAACAGAGAGAGAGCGGAGCGCTCACTGCTGCAGGACTGAGGTTCAGGTGAGTATATCTTTTTTATTTTACACCCTAGAAAAAAACAAGCACTTAACCCTCGCAGTGCAGGGGTAGCCCCACTGCAAGGGTTAAGTCTTTACTGCCCGGAGTTCTTCTTTAAATACATTTCTAGGAGTTTAGCTTTAAAGAAGAACTATGAGGTGAGTGAAAATCACTCATCCTCATAGTTCGAGCCGATGTGTGACAATGAAACACATACCGTTGCTCGCTCACTTCTCGATCCTGTCCATGCAGAGAGCCGTGACTGTCACTCTCGGCTCACTGCAGGGATGCCCCCCCTCTCTGCTCCGATCCTCCAGCGCTGACTGGAGGAACGGACGGGGGAGGGGGCGGGTACAGCTGGCTCTGCCTCTAGATAGGCAGAGCCAGCTGTCAGTCACGCAGCTGGGCGGATCCCAGCCCAATTGTCGGGATCCGCTTCAGCTGCGGCGTCTCAGTATACCGCGAGCAGCAGCAGCAATGAGCAGCAGCCAGCAGCAGTAATGTCGGGATCCGTCCCGGCTGCAGTGGTCTCAGTTTACCACGAGCTGTAGCTTGCGTTATACTGAGCTTTGGATAAACAGAAACAGGAACCATACCGCACTCCTTACCGGGATTCCCACTTGATGAAGATGGGTGCTCGAAATGACTGCGGATGGCACCGCCACACATGAACAGTAGAAAAATGTCACCAGCACACCATGAGTTGAAAAAGCAAAATATTTTATTGCCAGTAGCTGTATCTCATTGGCAAGCGCTTTCGGGGCCTCGCAGGGTCCCCTTCATCAGGCTTAGAGTCTCTAAGCAAAATATTTTGCTTTTTCAACTCATGGTGTGCTGGTGACATTTTTCTACTATACTGAGCTTTGGATCACGGAAGGACGTCAGTATATGTCCTCCAGTGACCCTTAAGAGAACTATGGGGAAAAACACTTACCTCATAGTTCTCTTTTAATCATGTTAATAATAAAAGCAACATGATGAAATAAGATTTTGTTTGCTCATACTGTTTTTCTTATGTATTTTATCATATTGATTTATTAAAATACTTTTTATTTTATGATTCCTTGTTATATATCAACCTGTAGAATAGAAATGTACTCTGAAAGGATGCATTTGTTTTGCACATTATTATTTTTTATTATCTATTCCTATTTTCTTGTAATTGTCTTGCTGTATTGGTGCACATTTTTTTTAATGATATGTTTATATATTATTAATTAATAACAAAAATGTCTATTATTAGCCTAATGAAGAGGACACAGATCCATTAAACACATTAGCTTGCTTTATATATGTGTTTGCTGAGGTTGGTTATTTTGTGCGTAGTTCTGTGTATTAAAACATATGTTAAACTCATGTGTACTGTGTTTTACATGCGGTACCATTCATCTCTATCAATAATGCGCTTACTGAAAAATGCACCTACAATGAAGTGAGCAGGACATGTTTAAATGAAACAAACCACGGTATAACAACTAGCTGAGAACTATGCTGCTGCAGATGATGGTACAGAACAATCCAAGCACTTTAAGTGAAGTTTATGTAGTTGTTCTAAAGTGCAGAGGTGGCAATGGTCCCTAAGGCGCCAACATAATCCACTGTGCTATCAGTCTCTTTACATAGCAACACACTGGGACCATTTCTGTTCTGGTGTCCCTAAAGTAGTCTATATAGTGAAAGTTCATTTTTCATGTTGGAGCAGATGCAGTTGCAGAGATGCTGATGTTGGTGTAGGTGTACCTAGACAGCGAAGCCCCTGTGGTCCTTCCATCTTCTTCTCCGACCCCCTGCACCATCCCTCTGCTTTGTACATTCCTGCCTGAGCAACAGGTGAAAGTAGCCAGAAAACCCAGCCGAAAACGCTTGTTCATAAAGCAGTAGATGATGGGGTTGACGCAAGCAGATGTGTAGGAGAGCAGGTGAATAAATGAAATTGGTGCACCAGACAGGAGAATGCCTGCAGTGATGCTGTCGAAGGCTCTCCAGGCATTGACACTGAACACTGGCGTCCAGCAGATAAAAAACAATATTACGATCACAATCAACATCCGGATCACCCGCTTCTTGGCCACTAGGTTGGCAGCGGAACTGTTGCTCCTCACTCTTTCAATCTTGGTGCTGTTGGGTACAGAAAGCTTGCGCATTTCAACTTTTCTCCTCTTTTTTGTCCTCTGTAGATAACAACCATCTCCATTCTCAAACGTGTTACTGCTTATACTGCTTGTCCGTTCTGTTTAGAGAAAGGAGAAACCAGGACAATTACCATGAATAATGAAAATACACAGAGAAAATATATTATTCTCAATATCCACAGTCACAGACATCCGAGCATCTGTTTATGTAGCAAAGGAACAATGTCTGCAACACAAGCTCAAAGGAAGTAATGAGCCTGATATTTAGTAAAGAGCAGCATGACCTACACATATGATTCATAACTTTAATTTGTTTTGGAAATGTAAAAAAAAAATCTAAGCATCAAAGAATTATTTTGCAATGGAAAAAACTTTGCTGTTTTTAGATGAATGAGTACATTGAAATAAAATAGAGACAGAACAAAAACCACGGCATTATTTCAGTTGTACATGTTGTTCTTATTCTTGGTATTATTTTGATCCATATTGTATCAATAAAAATGTCCTTTCCCAAGCATGAAAATATAGCAGCATCTTCATAATCTGCTCCATCAACTATTTTAGACGGTCCTAACCAGACCAATCGGAACTGCTACTGATATGCAAATTTTGACATTGTGTCTAACATCAGTAGTTAAGCCCTCATCTCTATCCAGGTCACCTGGTGTATACAGAGAGCAGTGAGAAGTAAAGCTGGCCATACACCAGTAGAATTTAATTTCAATGTTCAATTTTCTATTTGCTAATTAGGTTAATGATGGCCGACTTTGACCATAGTGACGAAAAAAAATCAAGAGAAGCTATTTTTTTCTTGAACAGTGAATGTGGTTTTCCTATGAGAAACTCCATTCATTTTCACAATCTATTGTTACCCGAAAGCCCAATGTTAGTTTATGGGCAGCTGGTTCTAAACAGACGGGTATCCATTTCCATCTGGTTACCCCTGGCTCCGGCCAGGTCCAGAAAAACAAACGAATCAGAGTTCCATTTCGCTGGACCTGATTGTGCTCGATCACGGGTAATCTGATATAGACAGACACAAGTCCCTGTACATGCAGTTCCACATAGACCAACATGGGTCCAGTAATTTCATTTTTTTTGTTGTGCTGGAGGAAAAAAATGGACGAACATGGACGTCACAGCGGTGACATCCTTTCCGGTGAGCAGGGGATCCATGCACAGATCCCCTGCTGATTGGACCGTGTGAAAGGGGTCTTAGTGTTCTCTAGCACAGCTTTTGATATATTACTTGTGCTGGAACACTGTAGATATGGTCATGACTGTGATGCAGTAAGCATTTAGGGCTGTAGCACTGTAAGTCCGGACTACAGAATGAGTCATAGGGGTTTCTCTCCTGTATAATTGCTGCCATTATAAGACATATTACCTGAGGCTAAGGCCTCCTGGTGCCAGATGACACTGTTATGTTTGACTTAATTAAGACGCAAACAAACCATGTGGTTTAGATTCAAACCAATAACATTGTGCGGTTAACATACTTAATGGTGCTGTCTAGTAAAAGGCCAGTGTGTACATGGCCTTATCCCAGCGACATCTACCTCTCCATTCTTAAAGCGATTCTAACTTTTCATATTTAACCCAACTCCAATATGGAAGTAAACTTGTTGTCTGCTATATAGGATTGGTGTACATAGAGGGAAGAACATGTAGTGGTGTTTCCATGTTTATCCATGACAGTCCTTCATTTGATTTTGTGATATCTAAGAGTGATGTTTCACCTGCAAGTGTGAATTCATAAATTCCTGCCTATACATGCACAGGCGTCAGTTAAAGTGACAGTAAACTCAGAAGTTAAATCTTCAAATCGAAAATCTTAAAATGTATTCAAGTACCCTAACTATTTACAAAAAATTTATCTTATTTGTGTATCACTCGGCTGTAGATCCTCAAATCATCTCTGAATTGGTGCCGACACTGTCCTTCCTTCTGGAGGGTGGCTACTTTTGTTCCCCAAGGTCCCTGTGTGTGTTGTAATGTAGCCACCACTCCAAGCTCACTCCTGTGATGGACTACAAATTAGCTAACTAACATGAAATGTCTATCACGAGAGCGAGCTTGGAATGGTGGCTACTTTACAACACGCACAGGGACCATGGGGAACAAAAGTAGCCCCCCTCCAGAAGGAAGGACAGTGTCAGCAACAATTCAGAGATGATTTGATGATCTACAGCTCAAAAAGGGGTCCAGCATTGTTAATAGCTAAGGTATTTGAATGCATTTGTGCTGTTCACGGTGAACTTTATGGGTGTTTCAGTCTCCAGGTGGTTATCACTGTGACAGATTCCTGGTTATATGGACATTTCACTGTCCAGTGCATTTGTGGTCAAAGGTTTCTCAGATGGAAGCTGTATTCTACCAAACACTTCAAGCAGGTGAAAGTAAATAACTTAACCTAAATAGCGAACATTCTTTTGTACAGTTTTGCTGATGTCTACTAATACATTTGAGACAAGGTGTATTACTAAAAGTAAAACACTCCTCCAAAGAGCTAACAATCTTCTGTACAGTTTAGCTGAGTTGTTGTCCTGTTGTCTCCCTACCTATCCCCTTCGCTGAGACAGAGACCCAGTTGGGTTTGGAGGAGCAGACCAAATGTAGCAAAAAGACACATTTTTCTATTTTGCAGTCTTTAAATAACAAATTGGGAAAATAGTGGTATTGCAGATCTGTGAGGATTGAACTTTATGCAGACATACACTCAGTGGTACTTAATAAGGGTAATGCGGATTTTTAAAGTTTTATCACTTCTTAACAACCATACCAAATAACCATGAGCGTCACTTTAAAATCACTGTTCACATATATTAACGGGGACATGTCAGTATTACCAGATAACATTATATGTTTGATGAATAAAGTTCCCCACTCTTTCCCTTAATAAAAAACTGCTCTGAGCTCCATTACATTCTAGGCATAGAGGACGTAGTCTCTGGCTACTAAGTGCATTGTGGGCATTTGACACCACTGGAGACTGCCAAATCTCTATCGTTATCAGCCAGGCCTTACAAGTGAAAAAAGAGCGTCAGCAAGTAATAAGGCAGCACGTAAACAAAATATGTCTACCCTCATGTAAATATAATTAGAAACTATACATATCAAGGTTTCTCAATAAAGACATTTCTAATAGGATTCATTATAAACAATTTAGATCCACTTTAATGCTTCTTAGAATATAGAAATACACACCTTTTTTTTGATTCACCTCAAACTGAATTCCTCTGTACAGCTCCAAAGATATAAATGCATATGCGATAGTCATTACAATCCCCGGAAGAAGGAATAGAATTAACAAGAGGAATATATACCTAGAAATCAGACACATTGTTCATTTATTTGTACAGTGACTCGGGAATCACAGCAGCATACAGAAGGGATTATATATAACTACAGAGAAAAAGAATCAATCGAGTATTGTCACTTGTCACATGAGTACCAGACCCTCCGACATTACCCCCTCCATAATTCAGCTCCTGAACCTCTCATAATGAAAATAAACCATTTAAAGGAAACCTGGCCTGAAAGAAATATTGAAGTAGCCACTGCTAGTCACCTGGTCACCATACCAATGCGTTGTCATTAATACTTTCCCAGTCACTGCCTTGAAACAAGAACAGACTTTCCTAGAAATGTAATTTCTGCAGGCTTATTCTCGTCCTGTTACTGACCAGTGCAGAAGCCAAACACGGCCAGGCAAAAGTCATTTTCAGCGGCAGGCCAGCAATGACGGCATCCATATGTCTTTATTGACAGTTGTAGAGGTTTCACTATCAGATTTAAAACCCAATCGGACTATCAGGGCGGAATTTAACTTTCGTTGGTGGGGGTGAGCTCTTGACATAATGTGCAAGTATGCACAACATACAACGCATACTTGCACATTATGTCACACCTACTTCATTACATCTTTTTTTTACTTTACTGTCAGGGGCTTTGGGCGATTTGGGGAAATATCAGGGATCTAAACCGACACCTGATTTTTCCCTTTAGAAATAGAAAAAAAGATTGAGGACACAGAGTCCATAATCTCTTTTTCTGCAGCCCCTGGTATGAATGAACAGGAAGCCTCTATAGTAAGTGACACTTTGGACAGAGATGCGACACACCTATGCACTTTATCACTGTGCATACAGTATCTCACAGACGTGAGTACACCGCTCACATTTTTCAAATATTTTATTATATCATTTCATGTGACGACACTGAAGAAGTGTACAGCGTGTATATCAGTGTACATTTGCTGTCCCCTCAAAATAACTCAACACACAGCCATTAATGTCTAAACCGCTGGCAACAAAAAGTGAGCACACCCCTAAGTGAACATGTCCAAATTGGGCCCAATTAGCCATTTTCCCTCCCCGGTGTCATGTGACTCGTTAGTATTACAAGGTCTCAGGTGTGAATGGGGAGCAGGTGTGTTAAATTTAGTGTTATCGCTCTCATGCTGGTCACTGGAAGTTCAACATGGCACCTCATTGCAAAGAACTCTCTGAGGATCTGAAAAAAGAATTGTTGCTCTACATAAAGATGGCCGAGGCTATAAGGAGATTGCCGAGACCCTGAAACTGAGCTGCAGCGCGGTGGACAAGACCATACAGCGGTTTAACAGGACAGGTTCCACTCAGAACAGGCCTCGCCATGGTCGACCAAAGAAGTTGAGTGCACGTGCTCAGCGTCATATCCAGAGGCTGTCTTTGGGAAATAGATGTATGAGTGCTGCCAGCATTGCTGCAAAGATTGAATAGGTTGGGGGTCAGCCCGTCAGAGCTCAGACCATACGCCACACACTGCATCAAATTGGTCTGCATGGCTGTCGTCCCAGACGGAAGCCAGAAAGATGATGCACAAGAAAGCCGCAAACAGTTTGCTGAAGACAACAGACTAAGGACATGGATTACTGGAACCATGCCCTGTGGTCTGATGAGACCAAGATAAACTTATTTGGTTCAGATGGTGTCAAGCGTGTGTGGCGACAACCAGGTGATGAGTACAAAGACAAGTGTGTCTTGCCTACTGTCAAGCATGATGGTGGGAGTGTCATGGTCTGGGGCTGCATGAGTGATGCCGACACTGGGAGCTACAGTTCATTGAGGGAACCATGAATGCCAACATGTACTGTGACATACTGAAGCAGAGCATGATCCTCTCCCTTCAGAGACTGGGCCGCAGGGCAGTATTCCAACATGATAACGACCCCAAACACACCTCCAAGATGACCACTGCCTTGCTAAAGAAGCCGAGGGTAAAGGTGATGGACTGGCCAAGCATGTCTCCACACCTAAACCCTACTGAGCAGCTGTGGGGCATCCACAAAGGGAAGGTGGAGGAGCGCAAGGCCTCTAACATCCACCAGCTCCGTGATGTCGTCATGGAGGAGTGGAAGAGCACTCCAGTGGCAACCTGTAAAGCTCTGGTGAACTCCATGCCCAAGAGGGTTAAGGCAGTGCTGGAAAATAATGGTGGCCACACAAAGTATTGACACTTTGGGCCCAATTTGGACATTTTCACTTAGGGGTGTACTCACTCTTGTTGCCAGCGATTTAGACATTAATGGCTGTGTGTAGAGTTATTTTGAGGGAACAGCAAATGTACACTGAAATACAAGCTGTACACTCCTTTACATTGTAGCAAAGTGTCATTTCTTCTGTGTCGTCACATGAAATGATATCATAAAATATTTACAAAAATGTGAGGGGTGTACTCACTTCTGTGAGATACTGTATATCTGTTCCAAAGTTGGTCTTGCAGGTCAGCACCAATTCATAGGTTTGAACTAAAAATTCATGAATTTTATGCAGACTTGTACATAAATTTGGCACTATTGCTGCAACCTTGAGTCACTTTTCTTATGTGTCTCAACCACACTCTTTTTTAATTTCCCTGAATGTGTCTCCACTGATAATTAAACAAGGGAAACCATAGTTGAACCATGCCAAGTGACATATTTCCTGATGTAGAAGAAGGATATCATGAAGCATTATGTAAAAATGTAAGGTATACTAATGATCCACACTTACCATGACTGTTGCGTGAGGTCGTTGGGCCACTCCAGCCTACACATGTTGCCCGTTATATTCTCAGGCTTTGGAAATGGCAACAATGTACTGTAAATTGGGTATGGTAACATGATTGTAAAGGAAAAGAACCAGGTAACCGCAATAACTTTCAAGGCATGTGACTTTGTTTGCCATACTCGTGACTGTAATGGCTTGCAAATTGCACTGTACCTCTCTAAAGAGATGGCAACCAGATTAAACGTTGACACGCTCACCGAGATGCCTAGGAAACAAGAAAACATTGTTATCTCCTCTGTTCAATTAACAGAAACCAAGAAGGACTCAGCACAGAATTCATCATATACTGACATCATGTGACCCTATTAGCTAAACAAAGCCAATGTTATCAAAGGACATTTGTGAGCATAGATTAATAAGACATGGCCTCTGAACAAGGAACAATTATGTCTTAAGCTCCAACGTGGGCAGCCATGTTCATGGATATACATGACATTATTAGACTGGCTGCCACTGATCTAAGCAACACTTTGATAGTCCAGATATGTCTGATCGTTATCACAGGAAGACATTTTCCTGTCATTTTGCTACAAAGCTAATGGTTCTCTATTATAGCTATCTATTGGCTGAATTGGGAAGATGATTAAGGTGGGCCCCAGAGATGCACAGTTGTTCAAGTCATCTATCTCACCACATGGTATCTGTAAAATTGGATTGAGCACCAGATTTATTTTTTCATATTTTGTCATTGCACACGTAATAATTTACATATATTTATTACCACAGGGCCCCCCTTGATCATGCCTTCATCTTTCTTTCTTCACAGAAGGCTGGCAACATCTTTGCACCTACAGTTAGCATCTACTACTTGGCACAGGGATGGCATATGTACAGTATATCATGGTGCCTCTGCAGTAGTCTTTATCTCTTGTGGTTTGTGTACACATCTTATGCATGATCAGCCCACTGATTCTATTTACAACAAAAGTTCCAAGCATACAACTATGATAAAGAGGACACTGTTATTGCACTTAAATCAATAAATTATATCTGTGATCAAGATGGATCTCGCTGACTTTTTTCACTCCATTCAATGTGGAGCCGAGCGTTCGATATATATTGCTTTTAAGTCATATTACATACGAAGGTCCTTTTTCCTGCTTTGCAGTACTTCACCATGTTTGTGCTTTACTGCTCCTTCTCAGAATGCAAGTCTATAGTTCTCCTGACCTACTAAAAACAATACACTCCCTGTGTAGCAACTGGCAAATATAACCCCCTGCAGACCGGTCAGTGTAAATAAATGGCTGGTCCACTGCCCCATTGTTCCAGGAGGGCATGCCTGTACATCCTCCCATGGCCATCTATGCCATCAGACAGCAGAGAGCAGTGGCTTCAGGCAAAGAGCCGATCGGACCAACTCTGTGCCTTGCGATCGCTGTGTTTGGTTAGCACAAGGCATTATTTACATTGCCGAGCCCTCTCCTTCCTCTTACAACAGAGAGAGCAGGGGAGAGCAAAGGAACTAATTCATGAATGGGTCATTAATTCATTACTTCCTGATGAAAACAAGCTGCAGCAGCAGCAACAAAAACAATAAAGTTTACACACTTTTAACCCTTTCACCCTCTTCCTCTCCACTATACGTTAACTCCATTCTCTGCTCTGATGTGTGTATTGACCTCTTCACCTCTCCTTTCCTGCACATCTGTACATTGACATCTGCATCTCCATCCTCCCCCTGTATGTAACCTGTACATTAACCCCTTCACCTCTGCCTCCCTCTGTATATGGCCTGTGCATTTATTGTATCTAGTGCGCCATTACTAAGCAACATGTTTTAACCCCCTCAATACCGGCATGTATCTTCATTTAAAAAACAAAATGCCGCAAAAATTCAGATTACTTTGAACTGTCAACTTTCCAAAAAAGGGGTGATTTGGGTTTTTTTGTGCTGCCCTTACAATTTGTATTTACAATGTTTTATAACAGAAAGTAAGGTAAACTGTTTTTTTAATTGTTTTGGTCTTTTTTTAATACAGTAAAGAGTTACTAAATACTACAAAAGAAAGCTCCATCTTTCTCAAAAATTATATAAGATGAATGAAGTTACAGAGTTACGTGACGGGGGAATTCTCAGTCAAAGTTTTACAGCTCTGAAAATTGATTGGCTTGGTAATGAAGGGGGTTTAACATGCTGGTTCTGAAGTGGTTAAAGGACATCTAATCCTGCTACATGTATTGCATACGTTTTTCATTTACACTTAAAAGCTGATATTCCTATTGGATTACCTTTGCAGTGTAGCAGAATAACAATGTTTTGATGTCAACATTAAAGCTTAGAAAAAGTCGATGTGGCTCTCCTGGATATTGGTTAATGCAAATCTGTACATTTATTAATGATGTCAACACAAAGGGAGTCAGCGTGGTGGTTGCCTTTTACATTGGCTCATGGACCCCTTCAGCTTGCCTGCCATTAAGCATACATCTATGATGGGATGGAATTTGATGTATCGACTCACATTATGGATACAAATCGACTAGTGACGTGATGTGCTTTCTGTGCTGGGTGAGGCATCCCCCAGCCCGCCGAAGCTCTATCCAGCTGAAGATCCACCCCCGTCCCACCGAAGCGCCC